CGGCCCATTAATTCCATCCAACGGACGAATTATACAAGATTCCGGCGGGGCCCTCGCTGTCACTCGTCCAGAGTGGCGCATAAAGCGGGCCCCGGGCGCAGGGCGAATAGCAGCCGCTTGTCAAGCTTCGCGGGACCCGAAAAACTTTCATTTGCATCGCTCGAAATTTTAATGGGGCCCGACATATTGTGCCCTCGTTGGTAATTCCTTGGTCGGATTTGAAACGAAGAAAGAAAGAGAGAGAGAGAGAGAGAGAGAGAAAGGAAAAGAGAGAGAGAGAGAGAGAGAGAGAAAGGAAAAGAGAGAGAGAGAGAGAGAGAGAGGGCCCGTCTCGAGGGACGATGGGTCGGAACATCGGTTTGCCACGAGATAAAGTCAATCTTTCTGGCACCGGTGCTCGCTTCCGACCGATACGTTTGCCGATTTGATCTCGAAACAAGACGAAAACAACCCACCCCCTACCTTCCCCTCGTTCACAGAGTTTAAATTACTCCGCGGTTTTTTTCTTCTCCTTTTTCTTCCTCCCCCTTTTGCTTTTATTTTCCCATCCCCTTCGCTCTTTCTTCCTGTTTTGTATCGCGGACGATGGAATCGTCTGTTGGTTTTTGAATGCGCGACGTGGCTCGGTTTCGTTTGATACTTTGTGCGATCCGCGAATGGGTGGTTGAATTGCTTGATATTATCGAAGTTAAAGGGTAGGATTAAGAAGTTACGAATGTAACGATGGGGAGCTGATCTCTCTCTCTCTTTTTTTTTTTTTTTTTTTTAGATGAATCTCTCGATAGTGTCTAATAATTGATTCGCCTTAGAGAGTCTTCCATTACGTTAAAATGAATCTTCGATGCGAGAAGAAGAGCGACGTGTGAATATATTAAACGTTTTTTCTCGGCGATCTTTCGTGATAAATCTTTTGCAAGGATAATTTCTATTTATTTTTTTTTTCTCGGTTGTTTGTCGGATTGAGAAACCTTTTAGTAGATAAGATTTATTAAGATAAGTTTGTAAATAGACGCCACCTGAACATGACTAACAGGAGATGACTAATAGGAGGAAATGTTTATCGCGGAGAACTTGTTTACGCGGATAATAATAACGGTCGAATAATATCCACGAGTCTTGCTTCGAAAGAAAATATCGCCTCTTAGAAAAAACACGTAACAACAAAGGACAGAATATAGCGCGGAATATAGGTAGAATATTTGCAGAATCAAATTAAATACGAATATATTTAACTTTTCCATAAATGCATAAACATTTCTATTGATCGAGATATTAATAATCGAATCGAGATCTAATATAAGATATTCGATCTCGCGAAACTACATTCATCACGTTCAAATAGATAACACACACGCACGCGCGCGCACATATATATATGTATATTATATATATTACACTCCCTTAACGCATGATACGTGCCACGATCGAACAATCTATTAATCATCATTACCCGATGGCCGATCGTTTCTCGCCTCCGCCATAATTTCGCGCGTTTATCCATGGCCGAGGGGTTCGAATACGTTCAAATACAAGATTCGACAAGAGCCGCGGGTCCCTCGCAGCCGATATATCCCGATGCGTCGTAAATTCAACGGAGTAACGAGGCGACTGTCGAAATTGACTCGAAAAGAGCAAAACAAACGGCCTCTTTTCTCTTTCTCCCCCTCTCCGTTTCTCTCCATTTCCTCTCCGCGGCTCCTCTCGGCCTTTCCGTTCCGCTGCCTCGAGGTCTTCGAGGATCGTAAATCAAAAAGCGCGAGCCTCTCCCGAAAACTCGCGGCGAAAGCGAGAGAAAAGGGAGCGGCAAAGAGGAAAAAGAAAGAAAGAAAGAAAGAAAGAAAAAAGGGGGGAGAAAAAAAAACGAAGATAAGAAACGAGCGAGCGCGGCGATCGTCGAATCGGAGACGGAAGTGGAGGCCGCCTCGGGATAAATCACCGAGAGTGT